AATGAAGCTGAAAAATACAAAGAATACACCTTCCTTGTGGGGTTATTGTCCAACTGGATTGGTTCCCCTCATATTCTGGGGACACAAATATGGGGTGAGAATGAGATATGGTGTCAGGGATGACCTGTGCTGGCAAGAGCTACTTTGCTGCTCCTGGTGAAACACAGCCATCCTAAATTCCCCAAAGCTTGTGACTTACCCAATCCAGAAACTGGACTGGATCAAATGAAATGTCCTAGCAATTTTTTTGGTTGGCAGTATTTTAATCTAGATCCTGTGTTTCATCAAGTGGCTTCATGAAGGCACACACGCACACAAAACGGGTGAGTGACAAATGGGGGGCAACATCCAGGAGCAGGAGAGGACAGGAGTGTTGTTTCTATGGGCAGCAGGGCTACACAATTCTGTTGGTATCAAGACTGAAAGGATGGCTCCTTGGTCCTGCCTTTGCTCCATTTACTCACATGAAGAAGTAGAGAAACTCTCTGAGAGCTGCAATCTGCAATCTGCAGGTTGTCACTGTCCCCTGCTTCAGTGTTTCTGTCCAGATTTTGAACCACTAGCCTGCTTATGTTTCTAGACTGTCCAAAGCCTTACAAAGAATTAATCTTATCATATTCTCCTTTTGGAGAAATAGAAATATCAGTTTATTAGTTCAAAGCATCTGCTCTTTGGTTTTATGACATTAAATTCTCCCTCTATCCATGTGATAAATACATTTGATGACATTCTGAATGTTCTTTTCTCCATTTTCCTGATTTATGACATCAATAAATTCCCAGTTATGCTGATAATAAAGTGAATGTATCCTGCCATCTACTTCTGTACAGTTACTACTACCCTTTTTCTGGGAACTCCAGATAACAAAGGTGTCTGGATCTCTCTGTTAGGGAGTTTGTTACCTAAATTCAAGAAGATAAAAAAGAAAAGTTGATAATGCTTTGAATATGTACCATGCAAATTTTGGTCAGAAATTTTAATCGGTTTCTGAATTTCAGGAATAGTAATTTTGTCTTTCACCTTTCAATGGTGCAGAACTTTAAGTAATTCATGGTTTTACCAAACTTTTCTGTTGGAATTGAACCTAATCAAGGACATCTCGTTTTGGCTTATAGTCTAGACCCATCTGAAAAAAACTACCCAAGATAACTGGAAAACTTTTTGATAAGCTAGAAACCACAGTTGTCTACCACAGCTTCCTCTTTGGAAGTTGTCTGAGATTCTGTAGTCTGCCCAGAGATCAGAGTCATGTAAAAAGGATTCAGTGCTTTAGGTATCAATTTTTTTCTCTTTCTTGTTCCTCCTATCCTCCTGAATAATTTCAGGAAGGATGTTCCCTTTCATTGTACTAAAGATTTGGGCCAGTAACACAGAAGATACCTGTCGAGTGTCATTAAACAAGTAAACACATTTCTGCATGTCAAACATTGCTTTGTTTCAAATAAAAACTACATTGGAGCAAATTCTGTAGTAAGATCTGGAGTCTGTGCTAAAGTCAGTGTGATTCCAGTGGCAGGATGCTCTGGAGTCGATGAGGCCTGTGTCAGGACCTCACTGGAATAAATGCTGACAGCATTTGTTGGCATCTGTTCCTGCAGGCATGCTCTGGAGAATGCCAGTGTGCAGACAGCCTTTCTCCTATGTTCAGCTGCCTCTCCTGGACCAGAGTCAGACTATCTGCTCTGAGGACTTTCTGGAAAAGTGGCTGTCTCTGCCTTGTTGAAACCACATACACAGCAGGAATGTAAGGATACTTTGACCTTGTATTTTTTGCAGGCTCCATTTTTTCCCCCAGTATTTACTTATTTTGATCATGAAACCTCCCTAAAATCTCCCCCCAAACCCGTCCTTTTGCTGTGGCCATTCCATCACTCACTGTGTCTCCATTTTAAAGTTTAATTCAGCCCCTGCTGATGTTAATAGATATTTTTTGGTGAGAGCAGTATATAGCCTGTAGAGTCTAAAGCTTTTGTCACACCGTACCCATGGAAGGTGGTGGCATTTTGCAAGATGTGCTTGACACATGGCCACCTGTGGAGAGTGCTGATTTGGTAGCAGTTAATACACCACTTGCACCCATTTTTCTTGGTTCCGTGCGGCAGCTCAAAGAGCAAAGGAATGAAAACCCAGGCGATTAGTGGTATTTTTGCTGACTATCTTCCTCTAAATCAAAGCAGGTATTCCCCTCTCCTTCCTTGATTAGTGTTCCTACTGCTGTGCAGCACCTCCTGTATTCTAATTCACAGCACATGAAAACGAGGTCTCAAGTGCATATGCACGCATTTCATTTTAACTACCCAGTGAAAAGTTTTAATTAGGTGTTTCATGTGGAAACATGAAACAGGGTTTGAAATTAGCAATGACCTTGCAGCCTTCCTCGAATATATTTTCTGATACCGTGTGGCAGGCAGTTCCCAGCTCTTTTTGTCACTGCCTGGAATGCGAGCATCCGAGCGGGGAAGGCTCTGACGTGTGGGAGCAGCAGCAGTTGCCGGTTGCAGGAAAAAGTACTTTAGCCTCTTTTGATGACTGGGAAAATAATAGGATGACCTAACTCAGGAAGAGCATGAATGGTGGTTGGTAATTCCTTTAACAGCTTGCTGAAGATCAAATCTTAGATGGATTTCCAGGCTCTGAAAAGGGTAAGCCCTGAACAGGGGGTGATGCTGAGCTACACATCCCTGTTTGATCAAGGGAAGGGCCTACATCTCACATGCCTTTGTTGGCTGCTGTGCATCAGCTCTCTCCCCTGCCAGCCTGGCTGATGCTGCTTTCTCACTTGGAGTGGCTGAACTAAGAGCACTACCCCTCATTTAATCTCCATTTCCCCTGGGAGGTGAGGGGAGTAAACCTGTGTGTTGTATCAGGAGCAGCATTCCTACTTAGTTTGGTGCTGGGAGGAGCAAAGACAAGCTTTGCTCTTTTTGGCAGAGTAGAAGACAAGCATAGAAGGCAAATGTGCATCACTTTTTTGGTTTGGTTGCAATATCACAGTGTCTTTCCTGTTTTTAGAGGTACTGATATTTGTTCAATGAATACAGCATCAGTTTAGGCCTTTTTACAAAATACTTTTATATTGCAAATAGGGTATTATTCACTACCACAGGAATGTTTAAAACACATCTCTGGATACAAATACAACTGTTAAAACTATTTACTGTTTGCAATATATGCTGTTTGGCCATATTTAGCAAGTTAATAGAGACTGGATGTGGTCAGGTTCAGAGAAGATGCTAATTAGAGCTGACTAAAGTGGACACAATTTCAGTTCTCATACACAAAGCCTTGTTGTTCAGGCTTTGGGCTAAAAAACACATACATTCAGGCCTGGGCTTCCTTGCGTGAATAGCAAATAGCTGGAAATGTACTGACACTCTGGCTGTGTTTCCTCAGGTGAGAAACAGGAATCTTTTTAGTGGAATCACACATTAATTCAGTCTGTCTAAATAATCTCTCAGTCTCTACACAGTACCTGTATTGAGCTAATCATTGGGCCCTATTGATTTCTTTTTGGATTCTTGGATTTTGATGAACTTATGAAAAAGAAGCACATGGCTTCTAAGCAGAGCTCCATCTGCAGTGAGTTCTGTACTCCAATTTCCCAAAGAGACAGAAGAGAATTAAGCTAGGTTGGATTTTCCTACCTGCTTTATCATTGGCATCACAAGACTTTTCCAACAGAGTATGAGCAGTGCCCAGTGCTGCACTGGGAAGCTATCAAATCCTGCACATTGCAGATGATGACCTCCTGCATATGAGGTCTTTCTCAGGATTTTACCAAGGACATGGCAGAATTCTTCTCCACCAAGGAATTTGAATTGTTTATGATCCCCCAATTCTCCTTCTGTAGAGACACCTGCCTATATTTGCATGTGCTATACATATTTATTCATTAAGCAAACTGCATACCTTCCTAAAAGCAAAGACAATTTCCTACAAAGACTACTTATGGAACCCCTTTTCACACTGTAGAATGAACCAGTCATTTAAACACATGGTTTCAGTTGTTAGCGTAAAGAAGATGCTTTCTCCTGGTGACCCATCTGTTCTGACAGTCCTCTCCTTCTCTTTCTCTTTTCAGATTGCATTGGTGTTTTGTCTAGCATATTCTGAAAAGTTGCAACTTCCTTTTCAGTTCTTCAGATTAAAACCTGAGTCTTGGTCATCAGAAGGAGTGTTTGAGTAGTTAGGGTGCACTGGCTGGGTGAGAGATACTATAGATAGGTTGAAGCAGATACCTTTTTTAAGTCTGAACACCTGAACCACCTGAAACTTGCTCGTGGCAGATTTTTAATGTGGGACACTCAAATCAGTACTTACTTAAAAATGACCCCTATAAATTCTTTTTTTTTTTTTCAGTGTGTGAGGCATAGCTTTCATTTCCAAGGATGCCTAAAAATGTACCTCCCTTACTTCATTTTAGACACTTCTTTGTAGGAATGTATGCAGGAACTGGGGGAACATGTTCCAATTTTGCAGCAGAGCTGTGGGTACGTGTGCTGGTTTGTGTGGGATCCGCAGCCATGTGTAGAGCAGAGCTGCTCTGCTCTTGCACTGGGTGCCCGTATGCTCCCTGTAACTCGTCTGTTCTCACTCTCCCACCCCCAGCTGTCACACAGACATACACATATGTATATGTGCAGTTATGACTGCCTCTTCCCTGGAGCAAAACTTAGTTTTGTACCCATTAGGCAAAAAGGCTACAGTTTCACCACACCACTTTCCTTTGCAGCTGCTGTAGCAATGCTCTCCAAGTCTGTCTAATATTTTTACTGGTTAATCAATTGACACATACTGTTTTCATTGCAGTGACATGTAAATAGTAAATATTTGCATTAGACAAAAGCTATACAGTAAATCATGCAATTACTATTGTTTTAGAATGCTATTAGTTTTTAATCTGTGTGATGTTCAGTATGTATTAAGGGTGCTCTAAGAATAAAACCAGTAAAACAAATAGCGATTTACTCATTTTAGTATTGTAGAAATTCATGTCTTACCTGCTGTAAGAAGAAACAAAAATTCAGCATTCCAGCAGAAGTATCAAAAAGCTGTAAAAGTTGCTTGACCACTATCTTGTCAGAATTAGCTCTAAAATCATAGGCATTTGCAATCTTCCTTGTAATTCACTAATGCTGCAGTTTCCGGTGTTCCAGTGCTCTTGTGTGTGGAAAAGATCTGCGTCAAATAGTTGGATGCCCAGCCTGCTTGAAAAAATTCCTATTGATTAAGGTCTAATAATACACCCCATCCAGAGTCTTCATTCGGGCAATTTTGTGAACACAGCAGAACATGCAATACCAATATGTTCATATCATCTTTGCTTTTATAAGAAATAATTTGTTCCATTTATTTTACTTTTTTTTTCCCCCAAGGTTAAGTGCTTGCTACAGCAAAACTTCTTCACTTTCCTACCTTAGACAATATATTTAATGAACTTTATCTGTATTGCCTTGTTAAGGGCAAGGTGCTAGGAACTACCTCTAAATAGACTAGAGCTTTTATGGAAATGAAAGCACCAAAGAGTTGCTTCATCATGGGAAATCACTGCCAAATGTCGTGTAAGCTCTTGCTCTCCTGGCAGACACAATGTAGAGAAAAATTTTCATTTTTAGCATCTTGACATTCAACTTTTTGACTTCTAATGCTCTACCACTTTTTCGTATATGAATATTTTCCATTAAAATGTGTTGTTAGGAATTCGCTTATTTTGAAATAAAAATTGAGATAATATAGAGATATAGATAATTAGAAACTAGATCATGCTGTACAGAAGCATTTTAATAAGATAAATTAAAACCTGCATTTTATTTTTAGCATAGTCTAATATTTAATAAGCTAAAGCTTAAAATCTGATGAATTGGCAATGATTTTGTGATTTGATATTCAGAAAGAATGTGTCCTGAATACCAAATGAATTAAAGTTCCTGTGGAATATCATTGCTGCATTTTTTATTTTGACCTTGAGAACTGTGTTGGTTTAGTGTTTTTACACTGCTAACCTTGAACACAGTAAATGGAAAAACAGTGCTGCAGGTTAGCAGTGTTTTTTCTTGAATTATCATAGGGGAATGGTTTGAGGTTTATGGGGGTGGAGAGAAATTGTCTTCAAGATCTTCGAATAGCCTGAAAGTTTTGGTGATGACAGCACTTTAACTTATCGTTATCCTAAAAATGTGCTTCTGAGCCAGTGAAGCCTTACACAGCTAAAAGGAAAAGTGACTGCAGAAAGGAGTTTAAGTAATGTCAGGAGGATGGGCATGCCCAGGAAGCTGCTAACAAATCTCTTCTGAAGCTGCAGAAACATAGCCTCCTGCACCAGGGGTGTGAGTCCTCACAAAATATCCTTGGTGCAGCCTTGTTTTGGTAGGTTAGGTGAGTAGCTATGTGTAGAGATCATACTTCCCATGTCAAGTAAATGCTCATGAGCACAAGTCTCATCCCCCTATTTGCTGGTTGCTAGCAGGCAGCCAGTGCACCAGTACAGATGAAGGGTAGGCGAAGAAAGATGCTTTGCACAGGGAGGGTTTTGTCTGGAATAAACAGAGGTATAAAACAGAGACAACAGGCTTGTGTTTTCATTTTTTGTCTTTACTGAATGGATAGTTACACTGTTAACTGCACATTCATTACTTACCCTGGGAAAAAACCCTAACATATTTCAGAAGCATTAGATAGTGATCACTTGCATTTTAGGGGAGCAGAAGAAAGCATAAGCAACCTCTGCTTAGGATCATCTGAAAATATAGTAGATTTTATTAAAAATTTAACAGAAACCTAATGTTTTAGATTGGATTTTAGACTTTGTCTTTCCCCTACCCCCCCTGCCCCCCACTGTGGTCTCTGTGTTTCTGATTGCCTCCAATGCATGTGTTAAAATTCAAGGCATCTATAAGGCACATGTCCTCCTGACCTAGTGCTGTAGTTATGATGATGCATAAAATAAATCATTGCAATTACTGAGACAGTCACAAGCACTTAGTAACTCATGCAATTGTTTCTTGAAACATGACTGCACTGAAGAAAGGATCATTAGTTATTTCCCTGGAGTACTTGAATATTGTAACCCTCTCCACAGGGTTCTATTAGGGAGTTAAGACCTGGACATCTGTCCATACATCTCATTTTATGTTTCTGTTACTCAAATGCTCTGTGATAGATGGTGAACTCCAGACTATGTGTCTTCTTCACCTGCAGCATCTCCTCATCTATCAAAGTTCAGGTCAAATAGTAAATGGCCAACCATGTGGGAAGGAAGAACCCTGTAATGACAAAGTAAACAGGTCTAAGAAGTAATTTCTGGAAGGACTTATAAGAGAAGGTGAATTTATGAGATTTATGACATTAAAAAAATTTCTGAGCAGGGAGAAAGAAGCTGGTTAGGATGAGATCTCACAGTTATACATGAAAAGGATGTAGCTGTAGAAAGCTATAAAAAATGTTTGAAGCTATGATGGTCAGAAAAGAATCAAAGCTAGAAATGGGGGAAGGGAAGTCAGGATCAGAGATACATGAGAGTTTCAGTATTCCTTGGGTGGCATAATAGGTGTTGGCAGTGTCTAAGTAGTCTGTAGTACACAGTCTGAAAGTTATGGGATGTGATGAGGGAAGAAGAATGGGATCAGAAGATATGTCAGCAGAAAATTGCAGCCCGCAGTGAAGCCTTTGTTGGCTGAAGAAATCCCTGTGCATACAGTATGATATCAGAAGCTGATAAGTGGCATCATGGAGTGTTACTCTCTCCCTATAGATAACACCAGCTTGCTTAGGAGGAGATACTTCAAGGAAGGACAAGGGGAGTGACCCAAGGGATATTGTTTGGGAGTCTGGTGCCAGTGCTGCTTCTCATGGTGAATTTAACTGAAGAGAGGAGCCTTATGTAGGCATGATAGTGGCTGAAGAAGAGCTAGAGAAGGGCAGCAGGGAAGTACAGTGAAAGCCCAGTGGCTGATGGATGGGCTGAGACTTTATGGATGGGACTGTCAGTAGAGCAACATGGTTTGAGGAGTTGTTCTGAAGACAGCTGTCCCCTACCACGTGGAGAAGGGAAGGCTGTGTCAGGCAGAGCTGGTATGTTATACGCTGATAGTATCAGAGCCCAGCAAAACATGCAGAAGCCTGGCTGAGGGTAGATCAGATGTCCTTGTTTTGGAGGCGGCAATATCCCTCAGAAGGGTGGAGCAGATGGCTGTAGGCAGCAACAGCTCCAGCTCCAGCATGATGTGCTGCTGCATGTCTGGCAGCCTCCATGGCAGCAAGGCTTTTCTTTCCAGTGCTCTTGTGAATGGTCTTCTGGTGCAGGGGGTGCAACATGAGTTTGAGGTACCCTGTCATTGTAAGGTTTCGTGGTCTTGACTGAGGCAAATCCCAGCAAAACATTCAATATTTGATCTTTTTTTCCCAGTATTTCTTCCTATTCTAATGATAGAGCTGGTTAAATCTCCCCACGTAAAAATAGCACTTGTGATTACTTCCATCAACTTTTTGCAGAAGAGACAGTGAAATCTGGACTATGCCACAGTTCTGCACATGTTCCCCCACAGAGGAACCATTCCCTGCGGAGGAGGTCACACAAGGAGGCAGATGAGTGTTTACTCAAGATTCTTTGCATCTCATTGCTGATACAATGTGATTTACCAGTTGCCATGGTAACAGTGCTTTTTTCATTCCATAACTTGAATAAATGTTGAGGTTGCCCTTGGTATAACTATCTTAGCTCCCTTCTAAAGTTGGGCACAATTGTGTTATCTAAGGAAAGCAGAGAGGATACTCCCAACATTCCTACTGAAATAAATTTAGAGCATATAGGCACACAACAAGCAGGTATGTAATTACATCAGGCACAAAATAAAGATTAAATTAGTATCTGATTATTTAAAATAATAAAATACAAAGAAATACAAAATGTTGCTTCATAATGTGGTGTCTTATATTTTTCTGTAATTTGTATAGCTTGTGACACTTTGCTTTTCTTCAATACGTGAAAACTTATTTAATCATTTTATATAATTTTCTTTGTATCACACTTTTCTTCTTTTTCCTTGTTGTAGTCCTCCAATAAAATTTCTTTATTTCTTAGGTGCTATAACCTCCAGTTCTGAATTAATTATTGCTGACAAGAGTTGATTATTAACCTGCTCTTCCCCACCTCCCTTATTCTTTTATGTTTTCCTTTGCTAAATGTTGACAACAAACATTGAACCAAAACAAACAAAAAAAATGCATCCTTTAATTTGCTTCTGTGCATGTAATAGAAAAAAAAGCATTCTATACAGAAGCAGCCTGATTTTTCTCATTTCTATAGCTACTATTGACATCAGTGAATATTTTATCCTGCATAATAAGTGCAGAATCACATCTCCTGCTATTAGGTGGAAGGAGTGAATTTTATTTTTCCTGCTAAGTAAGTCCTTTTTCCCTTTTTTCCTTTTTTTTTTGGCAGTTTTATTACATGCTCTACACATTTCTGTCTACTTAGGATCTGTTATCAAGTCTGTGAGTGATTAGTGGCTTATCTATGTTTGAATGATTTAGATTCATGAATTAATTAACACGAAAAGAACCATTAAAAAGCATTAGTAAAAGGGCTGGTGATTTCAGGCTATTTTGGAGAGAATTAGAACTGTCATCCAAACCCAAGAAAATTGTAGCCATTGTGATTCATGCTTTCTTCAAAAAAAATCATTATGTCTAACTTAGTCGAAAAAAACCACCAAACCACAGGATATAAATTCTATTTTGTGGGATTGCTATTGGTCTAGAAGTTAAATAAATTGTTTTGATTTTAAACATTAGCTTTGGATTGTTTTTCAATTTTTTTTTTTTTACTCCTTTACTCAGTGCATTGCAGTTAAATGTCAGTGCATTTGAGAGAGTTTGAATTTAGAGTTCTTGAGAATGAGCTTGAGCTTTATATAGGATACTCAGTTCTAGAGGACCTTTTCCTTAAGCCTTTTATGAGGTCAGATTCAGCTCCTGACCTTTGCTGAGTACTCTTTTTGGAAAAATTATCTGCACCTTTCCTTGAGCATAACACTTCAACAAAAAGATATGTGCCTCACAGTTATAAGTGTAACAAGCAGCAATAGGCAAGTTTTAACCTTCCTAGTTTGCAATTGTGGCTTATATTGGGAATAGTGTACAAATTTTATTTTATTTTATTTTTATTGGAGAGATGGCATTGGCAGCCTTAAGAGGTATTATAGACATAAGCCAAGATACAAAGTTTTGTCTCAGAGACAGTAAGGGGGTAAGTGAGTTTTTAAAAATAATATTTTGCTACACACCTCGTATAAATTGGAGTGAAAGACAAAGGCATCATTGGTCTTACCTGTCTGACTTTGAAGTTGTATATGTTCAGAACTGGTAATTAGAGCAATATAAGGCTGACAGTATCATATATTTACTGCCATCTCTCTTACATTCTTTCAGGAGACTTTATTTATCACTGCTTCCATTATAAAGGTTGTAAGGCCTTTGTATGTGTGTCCTTACCAAGGTGAATATTAGTCTACATTAATAAATTAAATCCACTAACATTAGTGAGCTGTGTTCTGCAGTTCTCAATCTTGAGTGAAAGCTCTATGGGGGCTGCCAGAGAAGTCAAGTTCTAGCCCTGTTAGATGTTAATCCAGTTGTTATCTATTTCCTCTCATATGCCAGTAATTTCTAGAACTTCACCCATCTGATGTTAGGATTTTTCTCTCAAGTATAATTTCTGTATATCTACATATTTATCTACATGTATCTATTTTTCTTTCCCTGAGCCATATGGTAATAGCAGTATATGTCATCAGTCCAGGTTAAATCTGCAGTCCTCCTTGAAGCCTTGGCACTCCTCCCCCTTTACTGGCTGAAACATTGGTCTGCAGTTTTTATATAATTTCCCTCATGCTCTTCACTGCAGCTAAGGCTTGAACCACTGCCACTAACATCACTGAAGATACTGTTCCAGAGTCTCCTCCAGAGAGCTGGTGGATTGAACTGTTTCATCTACATACTCCTATTGTATTGTATTGTGCAGTATTGTATTGTATTCTACTATATTCTGTTCTATTCTATTCTATTCTATTCTATTCTATTCTATTCTATTCTATTCTATTCTATTCTATTCGCAAAAGGAGATATTTGCATCTGGTCTTTGAGATTTTGTCCTGAAGGAAACTTTACATTCTGGGGAGGAAAACAATTCTGGTTCTGGTGAAAATAATACAATTGCAAGACTCTTTTAGGGCAGAAATACAAATTGAATTTTCCTGACACTTACCTTGGGACCTGGACCTCCAGGCCTGTTGAGCTCCTGTGTGGCAGGGGATGCAGAAGCCCTGCCAGCCTGGGGTGGGCAGTATGTGCAGGCAGTGGGGGAAGCCTGGCTGGCTACTTTCTGTCCAAACTGACACGTTCTGGAACAGTTTCACCTGTACTGAATTCATATTTTTTCAGTGAAAAGAAAAGGTTTAATTGGGAAATTTATGATCAGCTCCATACCCCACCACATTACGTGCAAGGCCACTGAAGAGGATGGTTGGCATCTGCCCCTTTTGTTCTACAGTCATGATAATTTGCCCTGGTGTGGTGCAGGTTTTTCTACAAATACAGATGCTCTAAGCCTGCAATTCTTCTGTATACTGGCATTTTTTTCAAGTAAATGCAGTCCTGCCAGCTGTGAGAGAATGATAGCAATATTAATACTATCATCCCGTCTTCTGCCCTGCTTCACTCCCTTCCCCTTTCTTTTTTCCCCTCTGTTTTTGTACAGTTGCAGAGAGAAGATCTTTCTCAGTTGTTCTTGCCAAGGGGGTAGCTCTCTGTCAAGGCTGTCAGATTTACCCACTAATAGCTATGAAGAGCATGTGCTCCAAGTAAGTGAAAACTGAAATGCATAGCCTTCAGTTGTTGTGAGAAGACATTTCTCATTAACCAACAAAGAGTTGTGGAGTGTTAAGGTTATAACATTACTTTGGTGGTTGTGACACCAGTAATGTTTTTTTCATCTTATTTTAGAAAGTGTGCTCTTTTTCCTGTGTTAGAGGCATTGCTTCCTTTCATTAAAGCCCAATCCTTAAAGTGTTCTCACCTTAAATATATTTAGAGGAAATTTAGGGCCAGTCAGGGGTACAAACAATTTGGTCTCTGTTTAGGACACTTCTTGCACGTCCAAACAGTGCAACTGTATCTGCAACTGTACTGCAGCCCAGCACCATCGAAGTGTGCCACAGGAAGTGTACACCAGGATTCCTGCTTTCAGTCATGGATTTTATGCTTCTGTTATTTTCCAAAGAATATTAAGATTTTTTTTCCTTTTTAACTGTGAACCTTCTGGTGGCTGGACTTCATCTCAAAGGTCTTTTCCAACATAAACAATTCTATGATTCTGTGAAAACTTCGTGAGCTTGCTCTTTTTTCACTTCTTTTGCCTTTCTTTAACTACACAAACTTTTTTCATATTTTTAACTGGCGTGCACAATGAACCCCCCCCCCCCCAGCTTGTAGCTGGACCACTGCTTGGGAACATCATGCAACTGAGCTTTTGGGGTTTTTTTTCCCTTAGGACCTGACTGCAACCCTTCAGCTCACATAAGGACTGGCATTTAGCAGTGCCCTATTCCCATGAGCGGTTTCTTTCTTCTTAGTAATAGAGAAAGCAGAAATAATCCTACTCTCAGCAGTTTTGGGATTACAGGCAAAAATTGTGTTCCTTGATGTATGACTGTGTAGGGATATTAATCTTTTCCCTGATGCCTGTTGTCTGTCATCTCTGTTCTACCAGCACTGTCCTTTTGACCCCTCTACAAGGATAACTTGTTATGAACGTTGCCTTTGCTGTGGATGCTCAGTATGCAGATGACAGCACCAACAGTTTTTCTAAAAAGGCTTGTTCTGTGCATTATCAGACACAGGATTCAAAACCGGCTTCAGCAACAAAGGATTTTGATTTTTTTTTTCCTGTGCTGTGGCTTGTGCCCATTTTATCACCATTTGTGTAGCTGATAAATTTCAGAGGAGGTTGTGCTAAGCCGAATGTTGCTGTTGTGCATCTGTCAGACTGATAGCTCAGTGTGAGACCGCTAGGAAGTTTTGGTACAATGCCTGGGTGCTTTTTCCTGAAGGGAGGTTGTGGTCGAAAATTTAGAGTGTTTTATGGTTTTACAGACCAGTCAGAAGTCCTGGAGAGTCAAAACAAAATCACTGTGTGAGGCATGTTAATGTCATTAGTCAATTTCTACCAGTATACTGTGGTTAGCCCACTTTCATTAAGGGATAAACAACTGCAGGGGAAAACAAAAATATTAGAGTACAGAGAACTGGGGAAAAGATCATGACATCAGAAAAAAAAATAAAATGCAATATGTATATCCTATGACCTGTATTTTGTAGTGAAATGAAATATCACAGCCTTAGGTAACTTTTTTTATGCTTAAGAATTGCCATGAGACAAACTTCTGTTGATGATCCTGCAGTCCTTTAAGGTAATTTTTCCCTTGATATTTGGAAAAAGTGGTGATTTTGCAACTTCAAAACAAGCAGTCCCATTGAAAACCTTTCATGTTTTCATATTTTAAGTTGAGGTAGATTAGTAACAATTTTTTTATTTTCATCTTTCTAAAATTAAGAGAGGGTAACCGCTGGAGAAAAAATACTGGTCTCCTCCTTACATAGTGGGGTTGAACTGTACTGGTGACTTTGAAAGCTTTTCTTCTCTGGTAGTTGAAAGTGAATCAAACATCTTAATACAGATTTTAATCTCTCTTAAAACTCTGTGAAATGCAGTAACATATTCTGAGATGGATTATCCACAGAGATCAGAGATATTGTCATCCACCCTCATGTGAATTGTGATCTGTTCACTTCCATTTTTTTGTCAAATTAAGGAGAATAGCCTGCAAAGAATAGAGGAATTTTTGTACATGTTTGTATTTTGCTGACTTTAGATCTAATTTTACAGTTTCCACAATAACAGGTTCCAGGGAGAAACACACGGAAGTAAGAAGGCTATCACCTTTAGTCTTCATAGAAGCTGCCTGAAAGTGAAAGTATCTTAGATCTGTTAATAGAATGTGTTTGGTTTTTTTTTTCCTTCCCCTTTCTTTTATGTTTGCAGTATAAGTGTGCCTATATTTTATATCCAGGACTCACCTCATTGTCTATTATTAGCACTAGCAAATGCCTCACATTGCAAGATTTCATTTTTCATTGCTTCTAGAAGTTGTTGTATATTTTCTGTTTGTTCTGAAAGGTGTCTGCGTCAGCCTATGTAATTCTATAAGAAAAAATGCAGTCAACATTGTTCAGAAGCAGCTAAGAGTGAAGTTAGGGGTAAATCCTGTTTTTCTATATAAAAAAAAAAAAATGGCAGTAGTTCTCTGAAAAGCTTTATGCCTTTATTATTCTGAGATGGGATCTGAAATTCCTTTGCAGTTTTTTTGCCATTTTCATAAATATTTGCCCAAGTATGACCCAAGTTAGAGGGCAAAAAATGCAGTTTCTACCGCCTCTATAAAGAGTTTCTAGAGCTCTGGAGGTTAATATTTGAAGGCTCTGGAAGCTCCAAGCGTGCTTCAGCCAGAGCTTGAAGGGCTTTCTGTACAGCTCCTGGCTGTTACAAGCAGAACGTACTTGTAGGATGCAATGAGCCAGGATGGAGATTTAGCTCTGTCACTTTTGGTGTGTCCAACCTAGTCCTCAGTGGGCAGGTTTGGGGACTTCAATGCCACACTGCAAAGGCCTTTTGTCTTAGCTTGGACCCAGTCTCCAAGGTAAGTCTCAACATACACTGAACAAGGAAGAGGTGTAGGGATGGAGCAGGACAGATTAAAAAAAAAAAGTGTTTTATTCAAAGGAACTACATTAGATAATACAAAGATTACAGTCAATGTTTCTCAGTTTTTTTATTTTCTGTCTTTTTCATGTTCTTCTTTTGCATGGATAGCATATACAAGAGACATTATAATATCCAAGCAAAAAGACACCTGCCCAGCAAAACAGTCAGTCTTTGGAAATGAGGATCTTGTTATTTTGTGGCTTTTGTCAGGCTCTGTCACCAATTCAAGAACTTTCCCTGCATGGGCAGTCAAAGCTTCTCTACACTTGTTCTTCTGACCCCACTTCCTGAGTCTGCTCTTGTGTTTCACACTGCTTGGATATGTTTCTGTGTGCACAGGGAAGCTCCTTAAATTCCTTGAGGGGAGCGGTCTCCTCTTCAGAACACAAACAGCGCTGGGAATCCTCTTCGTACATCTTTTCCCGTACCTCTCAAGGGCATGACCTGGCACCAGCATCAAAAGACATAGAGGCAGAAGTGATTGACATTATCTGATTGTGTTGAGACAGTTTTACCAAATTATGTTAGGAAAACAAAATGTTCCTGCCCTCCATAACTTCTAGAAGAGGCAATTTCTTTGTCCTTTAATGTGATTTTGAAGCAGATAGTCTATGTAAAGTTTGCTTTGTTGCATGTTGCCCAAAGAAGATTCTCTTTGCCTTTGCTTAATTGTTTGGCAGCAGGAAAATCTGTCTGTGCACTGGATTTTCCATGCTTCATTAAAGTTTATGGGTGCCTTATAGGTTAACTCTTAGTTCCTGTATTACTTTTTTACCCACTGAAACTGGCACTGTGTGAATCTGTCTGGCTCTGGTATTGGTTGGGGCAGCTCTGGGTCTGATTCCTTTTTTAAAAAAGCAGGTGAAGAGATGTTGAACAAAAGTTCTGTCATTAGGAAATGCATAGTTTGCATTGCTGGTTAGGGATGTTCCAGCATAACAGGCACTTTGGTAATGGCTAACACAGATACATAAATTAATCTTTGCACTCCTGTCCTGGAGTAATTATGTGAGCATGGATTTTCTTTTCAGTGAAGCAGGCTTCTGAATATACTGTCTGTTGCAGAGCATAATGTTTTTTTCTGTTAGAAAGCTGGTGGAAAGCAGATCAGCTTTTAAATCTATTTCTAGTAGTAGAGATTTCTCACAGGAAGAGAGGAGGCAGTGCATTCTGGATGTTGGATCCTTTTTAAATTAATTAAAAGGCCAAACTCAGGAATGAAAGGAACTCAGAAATATCCCTGATACCGAAGTTATCAGTTGCTTTGGCCACAGATTGTATATTTCCCTGCCAATTGCAAATAACCTAGAAACCTAATGGCTTCCATAAGGAAGGCAGCCCTCTGTGGCTGTTTTCAACAATGCCATGGGTTCCTTCTGCTTTCTGCTTTCTTCTTCCTCTGTGCTAATTCAGGGGTCATAGTCCTACTCATGCAAAGTGTAACTCACAAGTTGAGGCCCGCTAAGCAATGACTTCCAGCTGTTTCATTCCTATAAGCATATAAATATTTATACCACCCCAGGGCTCCTTTCATGCTGAAAATAAAGGTAGCACTTGTCTGCTGTTAAAATATATTACCCAGGAGATAAATGGCTTACCTCAGTATTAGAAAGATGGATGAGAGGAGTGGAAAATTGGCTATAATATTGGTTGGAAGATCCACTGAGTCCAGAGAACCTTGCTGTTTACTTGAAACTCCTGCTGGGAACTGACATCGAGGTTGATAGTGCTGTGTTTAGCTATCAAGAGATGATTAATTAAAAGCTGTAATAAATGTGAAATATAGTGGCTGACAGATGCAGAGCTAGCTAAATTTCATTGTGATGGGTAATGTGCACCATGGATTGATTATAACATCCTAACAGGATATGAATGGTGCTTTTGAAGGTACAGATGAGAGTGTGCATAAGGCCACATGTAAAGTGAGATGGCAGTTTACCTCTGCAGAATTTTGGTGCTCTACCTCTTTCTGTCCCACCTCAAGTCCAAATGTCTTCTGATCAAGGCTACTGGGAGTAATTTCCTACCCACTGCCCTGGAGCAAAATAAATATCAAATAGTCAGTGTGGGGGACTCAAAGTCCAGGTGCCAGCATAGCATCACCCAAGCGAACTGGGATTCTGTGGTGGTCTCTCTGCCCCGATCCTTCTGCCCAGCCATAAAATGAGAGATGGCGATGCTGTGCCTCTGTTCCCCTGCACGGCCGGCGAAGGTTGCAAGGGCTGTGTGAAGGTCTGGAAAACTGCTGGAAGGCTTCGTTGTTAATTGGAAGCGTGATGAGAACGTCTCTTGAGTCAGTCTGCTGACTTTCAGGGACTCGGCCAGGGTGCTGCCTTGCCCTTCAGTACACGCCGCTGTCACTTGGGGGCCCCTTGCATCCTCCTCATCTGTCACTGGATTTAGACGGAGCATGCTGAGAACAGTGTGGTTTTCTTCCAGCAAGAATTATTTCACGGACCATTCCAGGTTCTGGTAAATGAAGCGTGCCTTGATGTCATTTTAGAGTAATATCTGTATTGAAATCGGACCTTGTGAAAATATGTAGGACTTGCCTATGTGCTTTGCTTTGTTCAGGTTAATTGTTGTGGCTTGTTATATGATTAAAGGGCCTGACTGAACACAAAAAGATGTTATGTATAAGTGGAGGTTTAATGAAATAGTAATTCTTCCCTTAAAGTGAAATTGTTTTTGATATAAGATAGCAAATTAAAGAAATTCTCTATTCCTCTCCTTTTTTCAGGGAAATATTTATTATAGGTAATGAAAATCCAACTTGAACCCAATTGGCCTTAGTTTTGCCCAATTTTTGATAAAATAGATTGATTTTTCTCTTCCTTGAAATTACTAAAAGAGGCAAGAACAAGAGGAAGAGCCTTATGAAAATCTTAGTTTTGGGGCACTTTATGCTCTAAATTTGCTAACACCTACTCCAAAGGTTTTTTGAAAATATTTCTGCCTAGTGAGATGCTGAAGGGGAAACACTGTCTTCCACACCAACCATTTTAATGTCCTTTCAGTATGAAAGAGCTTTCACCCTCCCAGTGCTCCCTGTTGATTTGCTGCCAGCTGCTCATGTATGTAATGTATATGGGTGTGCTTAAAATCCATTCCCATATATGAGGAAATAGATGGCTTGTACAAATACAGCACCATACATCACATACATTCTCCATGTGCTGCAGTTTGGAATGTCAGTGAGCACAGGGAAATGAGGATCAGAGCTATTTTAGAGGATGGAAATGCCAGAGAAGAGACAGAGAAATGGAGCAATTTATTTGTTTGGATAAACCTCCCTTTTACTGAATTGCTTTAATGATGTGCCTGTTCTTCCTCTCCTTCTCTTTTGCTGCTTATTTCATTGCAGTTTTTCAAATATGTAGGCAACAAAAAAACATGGCCAGTGAAATGGAAGATTACAATTATGCATCAGTATTCTTGTAACGTGGCTGCTCAGTAATGTCTCCTGGGAGTGTTACAATGAATATCTGATATTAATTGGCTCAGTACCTGTATTTCTGACCTTGCAGAAATTTAATAGATCAACTCTACATGTTCTTTACTGATAAAGAAAACTTCTTCAGGGCAGGGGCTGCATCTTTGGGCATGTCTGCACCACAGTGACAACCAGAAGTAGCAGTCAGATTCACTGGGTCTCGGAATAAAAAATAAAATAATAGAGAGAGGAATCATAAAGTGGTTTCTCTCCCTTGTTATGCCAAGGTAGCTCTGCTCCTTAACAATTTCTATCTAACCCATTAGAAGTCTTTTTCACTGCTGGATACTGTACACTTCATGCATAAATGCTGTTTTCTCTTCTCTGAGTACTATATGTATGGCCTTCATATGTGTGTTTGGCATACTGAACAATATAACTAAACCAGGTCAGAATTAGAGGAACAGCACCTACTGGGATGTACTTGCATTGAACCAGCTGCCTCTTTTGTGTCGCTCACTCTGCGGTGACTGAATCTGCCAGGAGGATCTCGCAGGGGGCTGCGCGCCGCTCTCCGGCAGCCGCCGCGTTTCAATGCGCCCTGCTCAGTCAGCAGCCAGCCCTCATCCCTCATCTCCGCACTGCTCAGTCAGCTGGCTCCGGCTGCGCTGGGGCTGCGGGCTGCGTGTGCACAAATGGAGCGGGGCTCACCTCCCTTCCCTTTCAGGGAGCGCGGAGGGAGAAACTCGGTGTACAAACCGCAGCTTAGCCAAGATTCACACATACAGCGGTCACTGGGCTGAACTTTCTGTGGGGGTGTTTGTTTCCCAAGTTAAAAAGTTGTTGAAAAGAAGGGAGATCCGTACACGGAGTATTTTAGGAGATGCTCAGAGGTACACGTTACATGCCTGCTCCACTGTTTGTATTGCCTTTACTGAAGCACAGGGGAGAAGGTTTAGAGAAGGTGTATTCTGCCTCTCTATTACTGTCACGCTCGGGAGCACTTGCCGCTTTCAGACTATTGTTACCTGTCCTCTGCTTTGTTTGACTGTCTGGGAATTAAACAAACCATCACCTTGGGGACACGAAAACCCGCATATTCAAAGCCCCCCTCTCGCTGGGTTCTGTAAATTAAAATCCAGCACACGGAGCCCAGTGCCTCTCACAAAGGGAGCCCGTTCCGCCTCCCTGTCCCGAGGTGCAAACAGCCCCCTCCCCAGTTTAAGCCTCCGGCGGCGGCTCCCGCGGGCGGCGGGATGGCAGCCCCAGCCCCGAGCGCGCTGGGCACTGACCGCGCTCTCTCTGTCCCTCTGTGCACGGAAGGTGGACGATGGAGGCGGCGGCGAGCGGGCGCGGGAGGCGGCCGGCGCGGCGCTGGTGCTGCGGAAGGTGTGGTCACGCAGCCCGGCCCCCGAGCGGCGCGGGAGGTAAGGCTTCCGCGGCTCCGGGCGTGCGGGGCTGGGCCGGCCGGGCCGGGCTCGGCGGCGGCGGCGGGCGGGGCGCGGCCCGCGGCCCCGGCAGGGCGATGGCCCCCGCGGGGGGAGCTTAGGGCCGGGCGGCGGCGCGCAGGGAGCGGGGCGCCATGGGCAGCGGCAGGGCGCGGGTGCCCGAGGCGCTGGCGGGCCGCGGCGGGGAGCGGCCGCTGCCCACCTTCGACGTGCCTTACTTCAAGTACATCGACGAGGAGGACGAGGAGGACGAGTGGAGCAGCCGCTCGCAGTCCTCCACCGAGGATGACTCCGGGGACTCTCTGCTTTCCGACAGATACGTGGTGGTGTCGGGGACGCCGGAGAAGATTTTGGAGCATCTCCTCAGCGACCTGCACCTGGAAGCCGCCCAGGACAAAGAGACGGGTAAGGAGCGAGCCCGGCGGGGAGGCGGCGGCGGCCGGGGATGGGGGAGAGGTGCCGGTCCCGGTGCCGGCAGAGCGGCGCGGGGATCGCTCGGGCACGCCTGGCCGAAAGCCGCTGCCAGCCGGGCGTGCAGCCGGGGCGATGCGGGGAGGAATCCCCGAGCGTGGCGCGGCAGCCGGGCGGTGCCGGAGCGGCACCGGCCCCGGGGCAGGAGCGCCGGCGGTAGCGGAGCCGCTCGGCAGCAACTTGAACCGGTTTACCTTCGGCTTTGGCTGCCGCCGGGGCAGGGCGGGCTTTGTACAGCACCGTCTCTTGCAGACAGGGCTGCCATCCCTCGCAGCCTGCAGCTGTTCCTGTATCCATCCTGTATCCGGATGCTTGCAGCGCGCCTCACCTCCTGGCCAGCCACTCGTTTTGCCACCACCCCAGTACTTTGGCACATCTGTTTCATTAAAGCGGCTTATAAATTTCCTCATAGCCCGGGGAACACCGTATTGCCCAGTGCTCTACTTGTTTGTCTTCAACCAGTGATAGTTCATTGCAGCCTAGAGCAATTTTATATGAATGGGGCTATTTGACATGCATGCAGTTTAATTTCCAGCTGGATCTCTTGGCTATATGCACATCTTGTTGTCACCAAGAGCTCATGGAGTAGTTTATTAGAAGTGCCTATAACCTGCAATTCATAGATACTTTTAATGGAAGCAGCCAGGCTGGTGAGACATTTGGAGGTCCTGAATACTTACGAGGAGAGAGGGTAGGTGGCTGCCAGTGGCACACTGTATTTGGTCATTCCCAATAGGCTTAAAATGCATACTCCTGATGCCTGTATATATCTTTCTCTACAAATGAGATTACCGAGAATAAACACACTTTAATCCTTTAAATGCCTGAAAATAAAAATAACAACTGTGATTCCCAGAGGAATGTCTCAGAACAAGTCATTAGTTTAATGTGGGACAACAGGCATATTCCTAGTGCTGATGTGTGAGTGCCCCAAAGAAACACATAGTGTCTGCCAGTGATATTATTACAGTGTTCCTAGTGCTGCTTTTGTCTGCCTAGACATTAATATTTAGTGCAGAGAGAGGCTGTGGTTGTCTTCCTTCCACAGATGCAGTAGGGTAGTTATAGGTGTAATTTACTTGAACTGGCTTGTAGGCAGTGTGGTGAGGATGCTTCCTTGGCCTTTTAAGGTCAAGTATTGGAATAGAATAAGTTTTTTCATTGATGTTTATCACACATAGATTGGGGAACATCAGCTGCCAGTCTTTATAGTCTGCTTCATCTTATTTTATAAGCTCACAATCTTGCTGGAAAACAATGATACTTTCAGTAGTGATATGCATTATATTTTGGTGTTTGTAAAAGCAAAGCACACCTTATGTAAAGTGTTAGATGCTGTATATATCCTCCCATGTACTACCTTTTTTTTTTAATCTCTTTACTCTCTCTCCCTCACATCACAGAGAGGCTGTTCCTAAGCTGGTCTTTTTGTTGTATATAGAGTTTGGTAAACTGTCCTCAAAGCAAATGTTAAAACCATTACTTGCTTGGTTCTTAGCAGATGGTAAAGTATTTAAAGGTTGATAAGCTTCCCCTCACCTCTGCCTTATCCTAGCTCCTTTGGAAAGAAACAATTAGGCTCTGCCCTGTAGCCACAGTTAACTGGCTCCCAGGAGCAGAACAAAGTAGCTGTGCCTTTGGTTTTTTGCCATCACAAAGATGTGTGCTAAACTTGCCCAGCAGCCTTCCATTCCCTCGAGGGTAGTTCCTCAGATACCATTTTCTTCTGACTTGATCAATCTGGTAATACAGAACTTCATCAAAATGAAAGACTTTAGGAGTTAATGGTTTATGAGAGGGATGCCCTGTAATGGTTTTTACCAGCTTCTTTTGCAGACTCAGTTGCCTTTAGCATGAGGAAGTATGGGATGTTTATTGTGCATATGTACAGCTTTGTGTGTGTAGGCATCCTTCTGCCGTTTGGATACTTGGATTTGCTGGGTTTTGTATTTTTTTCTAGTGCCAATCTGGCTTGTCTCAGAGAATGATCGAGTTGCAGAGCCCCTCAGGCTTGTGTTTTAGCAGGCATAGCTTCACAGAACATGAAAGGACCATGTTGTTGTACCCAGCTTCTGCTCCTGCTGTCTGTTTGCCAGTTCCAGGATGACTTCCGTGGCCTGTTGCTTTCCCTGTAGCCCCAATCCAGTTTCCTTATTTGTGTCTGTAAAGAACAAGAGAAAGGGCTGTTCTTATATTCGAAGGTGCACAGGGGCTGTTGTTCTGTTTGACCCTTTGCACTGCTTCCCAAGGAGGGATGCTCTGCATGTTTTCATTCCCACCCTTTGTATACCAAATCATAACTGCAGCCCTCAAAGGTTGTTCACAGAAAATCTGCTCTCCTGGGGCTGGCATGGTCATGGACCGCTGCCTTTTCCAAACACCGACATGGCTGAGCCACGGGTTGCTCCAGCCAGCCTCCATTTTCTAGCCCAAGTCAGCAGACACTGCTTGCACGTGAGAGAGTAAAGCAAGTTTTGGGGCTTGTCTGGAGAAAATTTTACTGGTGTCCAGCCCAGTCTGCAAGGCTTCCTTCAGCTGCTGCTAAACCTGCAGCAAGACACTTTAAGCACTCAGTTTAATAAACTCTGCTATAATAAACAGGTGGGGACCCAACCTGAAGAGTTATCCCAGTGCCAGTGACATAGCAGAGCACTGTTTTAGCAACTGAGGACACCTGAAAAGGACATTGCAATCTGCAAAGCTAGACTAGTCTATTGCTCTGGTGACTTCCATAGGCAGGATGTCTGGAAAGCCTGAGGTTTGCAAGACTCTTTAGGCTTAACTTAGTAACTGTTTATTGGGATTTTTGTGATGACGGTGACAGGGAGTATATGCAACTTCTTGGGATATCACCTTTAATTTGGGCTTGCCACTAACAAAGGCCTGCCAGCATTCCATCTCAAAGGGAGGAAGTTTTCATTTCACTGAGGTACTTCAACATGTAAAGTGCCAACCCCCAAGAAGACTGTTCTTGTTTCTTGCTATGGGATGGATGGAAATTTTTAATTTCTGTAACAAACAACTTTTCTGAGTCATCTCTAAGGTGGTTGGAATCACTGGGGAATGTCTGCTGAGTGTGCATTTTAGAGTGCAGTTTGAGGTTTTAAGACCTGAATAGAGAAATACACTTCAGATACATCAGTATCTAGGTGAAGATGCACAACACACTTCCTGGGCTAATCCTCATCAAGGGTGGGGATTTGAACAACTAATCTTCAAGAGGCCAAATCTTAGCATCTCAGGGTCTCTAATCCCTTCCCATTGACTACACCATTTATTTCAGAATCATTGTTATTTTATGTAAAATCTTTATTTCTTGGATGTTAGCAGCGTTTCCTTCTCTAGATATTATCCCAGTGTCATCTTTGGAGTTCCCTCCAGCTGGTCTCTGTTCAAACATGCTGTCTTGCTTTGTGGCGGTTACATTCAACATTTGGCAGTCTCTGGAATGATGTAGTGATCATCACATCCACTGCTACTGCTCCAGGCCTGCCTGGATCTCTCAGACCATTTCCTTCAGTCCATTGGGTCACCCCTCTAAGGCAGCTTAAGCAGAACATTGCTAAGTAGAACATAATCTCCCCCACTGCATCTGCTGACATCACATGTCTTTTACGTCCATACTACAGGATTCATTTCAGGGAATGAATAGAGAAGAGATTAATTTGTGAAAGTCTTTGAGAGCAAGAGGCAGAGGGAAAGTGTGATCTGGAGAAAGGAAATAAACATGGAATGGTACCACTGGAACAGCATGGTGGTGTCGGTATGAACTGATGTATCTTTGTAGTGGACTGGGTGAAGGGGATTGTGACAAGGGGGAGGCATGACAATTTTGTTAGGCTATTGCAGATGTTGGGATGGCAAATGATGGAGGGTCTGGAGAAAGATTAAAGGGACAGAAAAAGAGGACAAATCCTCATGACATAGCTAAAAGAATGGCAGAAAAGTATAAGTATGATCTGGATTTCTTTGGAGTAGGAAAAGAAAGGAGTAATGACTTTTTGTACCTTGCTTTGTCACCTTACCTGGGAATGTGCATGATCCTTGCATTAGTGGGAACTCTCCCCTGTCATACAGAAGGAGTTTTACCTTTAGTATTTTAACATACCACCTTGGGAGGGGCCTTCAGACCATGTCTATTTGTCCTAGAAGTCCTGTGTAGTAAGAGTTACTTTTGTTTAACACATTCCGTTTCTACACTGCACCAATGACACTGCTGTGCTGTTGGGCAGTGGCACCCTCTGTGGAACTGTACATGACCTTGGAGGGGAATGGTACTATCTTGCATGAGCTGACTGTAGTCAGCTGCTAAATGAAGTTGTGAAAAAGGGAGAAAAAGCTCTGCCTTTTCTAGATTGTCTTTTGTTTAAGAAGAAGAAAAGGTCTGGTTGCTTTTGATAATTTTTTTCTTAGTTATGAAGGATGATATTAGGTTTTTTGCTTACTGTCTTTTCAC